CTTAATTAGAATATGATTATCTCAAAGTCCTGATATAAGTAAATTAAATAAAAGAGAAATTTTATTATACTTATAATTTTTATGTAGACTCTTAATTAACAAGGAAAATATTAAAATTATGAACATACTTATTTATGATTTTAGACTTTTCGTTTTGGCTTCTAACGCTAAATCTGCTTTAAAAAATTATTTGTTAAACGTTCTATATTAATTTTTCTTTTTTGTGCTTAAGTTCTCTACTTTCATGTTCGAGGAAAAAGTCAATTTTCCAGGAAATCAATTTCATATTATTTTTCAGTAATTGATATTAATTCTTTTTTAAATATATTTTAAATTAAATAATTGACGGTTTTGTTTTTACTTTCAGCTGAGTTGTTAGTATCTTCTATCTTATTAATATAATATAATATATATAGTAAGTTAATAAATAAATGTTTTACCACGTTCATCACAATTGATATTAAAAACCTAAAAATATGAAGAGAATATCACGCATAGCTTTAGGTCACTATTATATTCCAAATTGAAACATACAATACAAGTTTCCTTCATTCTTTTAACTTGTCTTCAATTAAGAAAAAACTTGTTCAAGCGAGTGACGGGATTGTCAGCATCATGCCTTGATTCAGCTCTACCGTGTCAACTTATTTTTCTATTTCTTTTCCTAACGTTGGTTATTAATTTGTGGTATTCTGTTTAATTTATTAATTGATGTTCATATTAAATGTAATAATAATACCATAGTTATTAAATATTATTTGATTGTGATGTAATTTTGATTTATAAATATAATCTTATCAAAAAAAAGTTGCTTGCGTTACCGCATTAATGAAATCATAGTGTTCAAGCCATCCGTCAATTTCAGCAAACAATTGCAAGACAAAGAATTTCACTTTCAAAATTGAATTATGTGGATTGAGAAACAGTTTGGTTATATTTATAATATAAGGAAATTATTCGTTGTTGATAGAAATGGGATTTAATTGGAATTTATAGTGAATTAGTAAAATAGACTTTAAGACCTGTTTTTATTAAATATTATTTTTAAGATTTATTTCGTCTCTATTACTTGATATGTAAAAAAAAATTATACAAATATCCTTAAGATACAATGAAACCAATATTTAACTTCATATTGCAATTTAGAAAGGTAAATAGCTAGACACATCCAAGAGGGTTGCAAAGTTGTTTCATTTTAAAACCTACATTATGTAACAAATAAATTATAAAAAATTTAAATTACTTTAATAGATTATGGGAACTCAAAGTGTTTCTGTTTATTTTTTAAATTTTTATTCTGAACATAACACATTTCATGCTCTTAACTTTTTGGTTTATTTTTTATGTGTCAAAAAGGTTAACAGTAAGTCCTAAACTTGCAAGTGTCTTCAAGGTACCTCTATGTCTTAAAAGATAATATATCTACATATTGCAAGATATAAATTTTAGATAAAAGTATTGTTTCAATAATTATATTATGAAATGATGATTACTCATATTATAAAATATAATTTTTGAGCTCTAATATGAAAATATAACTTTTCATATCCAAACTTTTTCAATTGTTTCATAACTTTTAAATTTAAAGGTATTTTTCTAATATATCACTTTACTAAAAAATATAACTTTTTACATGACAAATCAGTTACAATCCAATAATTACAATATGTGACGTAATCTTTTAATTGATGTGACTTTTCAATAGTTAGAATTGTTGATATGAAAAAATTATAACTTTTCATTTATAATTTTTAATATAAAAAACATAATTTTCTATTTTGAAATCCACTAACATTCATCTCTACATAATAATTTATTATTAATGGTTCTATGCATTTTTTATTCAATCAAATAACTATCGGATTTAATTATTTAAATAAATATTAGAAAAATGAACAAAAAAAGGAATTAGTCATACTAATATATTTTTTCTTTTTATGATTTGATATTTTTTGTCAAAATACTAGTTCAGTTGGCCTCAGAGGACATAAGAGACAAAACTCAGCCAGGAGCTCTATTATTACTAAAAATTACTTGCTTTGCAAAAAATAAAAATAAAAATTACACATTCTATGTCCTTTTATATGATTTATATTTTGATAATGAAATTATTAAAATTCATTCTCTACTTATATAAATCATGAGTATCAAATTTTAAATTAATTAAAAATATTTAACTATTTGTTTAAAATCATGCAAACTTTCAATCATTAACTAGATACTATAAAAGATAAATCAAATTATAAGTTGAAATTACACATGCATAAAGAGCATGAATGTATTGTTAATAGAATGATTAGTTAAAAATTATTTACACAAAAATAATAATTATTAATTTATACATGCGCATACTTACACATAAAAATATATATTATCCGGAGAAGATTCTTCCATTAGCAGATTTTATCCTGTGATAAACATCCATTTGATTTTTAGTGGGATGGTGATGATGGCCTGCATATTTTGGTACCAATTTGGAACCTTCAAAATTCCAACAAGAACTTCGTATAGGAAGGCGCATTATTCTGTCGTATTGTTATCATTTAATAATTAATCAATTTGTTAATGATGGCAAAAATTAAAAAACAAAACAAAAGGGAACATCAAATCCGCATGCAGAAATAGTAAGATCCTTTATTCAAGCAATTCCATCAAATTAAGTCTGACCGTATCTGTGGTAGGATCTATTATACTAGATATATAATGTCTTAATGTTATCTCATCGTTGCAAATTCTTTTCCTTTGTTAAATCATAAACTTCAACTTAGGTTTTTCATTGAAATATTTATAAATATATCTATTAGATTAACATCGCTCTTTAATACTTAAAATCAATGAAATTATTTTTTTTATATATACGTATATGATTTAATTCATCTATACTGTGAAGCTATGAAAATTTTTACCATCATAACTTATAAATACAAGTATCTCTACTTTTTAGTTTTTAAAATTACCTTCTGTTCGTCCTCCAAAAGAACAATGTAAAGTAGTCAAGTTGTACACAAAACTAGTACATGTGGTTATTCTGAGAATGACACGTGGAAAAAATAAATTAGTTACTTTTAAAAATATAAATTTAAAAAAAATTATAAATTGTAGAAAGAAAAAAAAAAGGCTTATTAGGGAGGATTTTGGTGAAGGGTGACGTGCAGGTGAGGTGGATTGGAGTGGGGTGATAAGGTGCTTTGTGGACATTTCATGTTTACACCTCCTTTATTTCCACCTTCGAGTTTAGCCCGAAGCGGTGAAACAAGACCAAGGAAAGTCGAGCCCAACCAGAAATGGGCCAAACTCAAGGTCTGTGGGGTACAAACAATGGAGTAAGGTAGCAAAAATGGGAAAAGGAAGACCATCTCTGTTATCCCTTGCTTCTGGATGACAAAACTGAATAAATGAGATATTTATCGGTGGTGAAAAAATACAATGCTTGTAGAATGATGGGAAATACAATGATGGAGAGATTTGGGAGAGGAGAAAGAAAAGGCTACGTTTAGGGTAATTAAATGCCTACCTAGCACAATAAATTGGACAATTTAACAGTGAAGAAGCTTCGAACACAAGCTTGCGAAGATTTTAGCAAAATTTGGCCACGTCCTTTCTTTCTTGTTTTGCACTAACAGTTTATGATGGAGTGGACTGTCCGAACCAAATGCCTTTGCCCAGTCATTGGAGGAGGTAAACTCATTATCCCTTGGTCTGAAGTACTGTTCACAGCCAGAATATTCTTGCTAGAGATGTCAAAGGTGACTCTTGGTTGGGCAAAGGGCTAAACTCAAGCAAAAGATGGGTCAAAAGCTTTTGTTCAAGGTGCTAGTGTCTTTTTTTCCCCTCAGGCATTTCTTATTATGGTTGGTGTTTGTTCCATTGATATTAAAATGCATTGCATATGATGTTGCAACAAGATTTTTAACGATGTGAGATTAGGAAATTTAGTTAGGCGAATTTAATCTTCTATCTCTTGGTTTGATCTCTTGGCAACAACTCAAAAGTTTCCAAGTAAGTTGAGAGGTGCATGGAAGTGATCAACCAGCACTTAGCCCACCCTTTCTTGACCAACCGAACCATAACTTATTCATGGTTAAACCCTTGACGTAGGCTGGAGCATTTATCACTCCCTGATAAGAGGATAAGACAGAGTGCTGGAGTAGTCAAATAGAAATACTTAAGAGTAATAACTAAAGAAAATGATAGTTGGATGAAATATATTAAAAGACAAAGAGGCTCCTTGCCATGGTGTTTAACACCCAAATGATGGTAATGTTTATTCATATGACAGTAACTTTAGGGGCCCTCGTGATCGGCACGAAAATGGGATTGTTTTCGCATATGTGCTCGAATGGCCTTGTGATGATCACAATCTTGGCAACGATGTGTGACGTGAGATAGGAGTTGAGATCTTTATAGTAGCCTCTCAATGAGTATATTACTGATCTAGCAGTGTTGGTGAAGGCTCATGAGAAAAGTGAAAATATTTAATTTATTATTAAAAAGTTTTTGATATTTAATTTTTAGTTTTTAAAGATTTTAGTTTTACTTCATTAATGAGGTGTTAGTATTTACTGAGTTAATAGTGTCGGTGCATCAAATGTTAATTGTTTTCATAATTATTATGTTTACATTTTTGTCTTTGTATAATAATTCGCAAGATAATTTTACTATTTCAGAATTTATTTCAATTGTATAGAAGGAATATTCTATGATATTTTTTTATTATTAATTTTTGTCTGAAAGTCATCCAAAATAAAACTTCAGTAACAAAGTTGGACTATAATTAAAGTATAATAACAAAGTCAATATTAAAATAAATGACATAATGACAAATTTCACTTTAATCTCTTGACATTTGAAATAAATACTGTATATGCTACTAGTACGTTTCAATTATGACGTGTTTGGTTTGCCAAATTTCTATTCCATTCTGGGCTCTGGCTGCGTTTTATTATTATTATACTGTTTACATTTCTAAGCAAGAAAACAACTGGGTTTATCCACCTTTTTTTTTTTACTAGGAAAAGCCCAAACTTTCCTTCCGCCCTTATCTAAGCAAGCAAATAATGCTCTCCATTGTTATGACCATCCCGAAAACGAAGCATTTTCAGACACATTTGTTCCTTTTTCTTGCTTCTCTCACACGCCCATGGCGGCAACTGCAGCGTTCAATGTTTCATCGTCTACTTCCATCTTCCGCCCTTCATCTTCACTTAAATTATCTTCAAAGCCATTGCTGCTTCCAATGCTTTTTTCTCCAAGAACCCCCCGTCGGCCCAGAATTCTCAGTACTTATACTGCTTTCCGGCTTCATTCTCTGTCTAATTTAAGCTTTTCGAAATACCATTTTTTTTTGTAATGTATTTCAATTTGGTTGCAGGGATTTACGCTTTATCTAGTAACGATATCAAAGTGGGTACAAACCTTGAAGTTGACGGAGCTCCTTGGCGAGTTTTAGGTACATTTTTTTATTTAATTCTGCAATTATTATTTACTATTTTGTTTTGGTTGGCTAATGTATTTTCTTTGTTGATGATTTGTTTAATATGTATGGAATGTGGATGGTTATTTTGGTTGATTGTTGTATTTAAGTCTTTTCTGATTTTAAATTTTGGCTGATGGATTGGCCCTTTGTAGAGTTTCTTCATGTCAAACCTGGAAAGGGGGCTGCTTTTGTGAGGACCAAATTGCGTAATTATATAACAGGAAACAGTGTGGAGAAGACTTTTCGAGCTGGAAGTACGGTAATCTCTATGTAACACTAAATTGATGTATCATTTGGCTCTCCGCGCTGATACATTGTAACTTCAGCTTACACTTTTTTGTGATTAATATATGGCGGGATGTTCCTTTCTATTGAGAATAAGATTAGGAATATGTTGGACTAGGAAGGGTCCTTGTGTTTGGGAGCATGTTATCTTCTGCTGGCAGTGCTATTTTATTTCAGTTCAAATACAAAGCCTTTAGCATTTCTTGTATTACAGGAATATGCCAATAGAGGTTTTTATTTTTTTTTTTCAATGCCTTCATATACACTTGTTTTTCCAGATTGATGAGGCAGATGTTTTCAAGGAAACCAAGCAGTTTACATACAAAGATGGTTCCCAGTATGTCTTCATGGACCTGGTAATTTTAAGTATATTCATATAATACAACTCATTCAGTACTGTAGATATATGAATTCCTTAGTTATGTACATTTGTTATCCATCTACCGAAAATTTGATTAAATGCCATGTAGTGCATATATTAACTAGTAATCTTCTGTGTAATCAGTGGTTATCTATCCTCTTTTTCTTACATGGAATGGATTGAGTTCATGCTCCTAATACTTGGAAGATTCAACAATTATGCCCATTTTTTCTTTTCGCTTGAGCAATTTATTGAAATGCTTCTCTTATAATTATTATTTTTTTCCATATCAGTCTTGTAATGATGTTTTAACTTCTAACAGAACACATTTGAAGAAACCCGTCTAAATGAGGCAGATGTTGGGGACAAGACAAAATGGTTGAAAGAGGGAATGGACTGCAATTTGCTCTTTTGGAATGGAAAGGTACTTTATACTTTCTTTGAATTCATATATCTCCTGTTCATTGTTAGAATTTGAAGTTTTGATATATAAAGATGTATGCTCTACTTTAAAATCTGTGTTCACACAGGTGCTCTTTTGCACTTGTGGAGACTGAGATAGTTCCCTCTGCTAGATACTATGCAGTGCTCTTGTAGCCATCAGCATTTATGTATACTTAACGATAACTTATTAGTTTCATATGCTTGTATATGTGCAGGTTATGGCATCCAGTAATTAGTAGCAAAGATTAGCATTATTACCATCTTAGTAATTGCTTGTTGCTGCTATTGCTATTGATGATGCTTACCCATCTGCTCTTTCTTGTAGGTTATTGATTTTGAGCTCCCCATTACAGTTCAGCTAGCTGTGGTTGATGTTGATCCTGGCCTCAAAGGTGACACAGCTTCAGGTAATGTAATATGGCTTCTCTTTAAGGTCTTAAATCCTAATCCATTATTTTATTAGTTGAAATTGTAAAACTATGATCCATAATATAGTGAAATGCAAAGGTGAGCAGAGCACTAATGCTGTGTCTTCAATCAATAGTAATGTAGATATGTGTACTTGAAGGGCAATATGCTATGAAACTGAATATAAACGTTTTATTTATGAATACCTGAATATCACTCCACTGCTTTTCCTTTTATGAATCTCCTTAAAACAGAAAGCAAGAAAAGACAATGCTGTATTATGTCACAAATCACAACCCATGCATCTATTATGAGACAGCCCTTATCTTTGCTGCTTTTTTTTATTCTTTGATTTTGATTTCTGTTGCAAGTTGCAACATACTAGTTTCTTTGGCCTAATCACTTTGAGAGATAAAATTTTGACACAGGTGGATCCAAACCTGCAACTCTTGACACAGGCGCTGTTGTTAATGTTCCACTCTTTATTAATATAGGTGATCAAATATTGGTGGATACAAGAACTGGGCAATATATGAGCCGTGCATAAGTTTTGCTAGGAGAATTCTTATAATTAGCATTTTTTTCTTTTAATTTATTTGTTTATATAAATTAACATTTAGCAATGCCAGAGTGTTCTACTTTAACTTTTATCAAGGAATTTTCACCAGCCCTAGGTGGACTGATGAGAGGTAGCAGCCTGCGGACAATAGTTTCTTATATTATATGGTTGTAGATTTTTTGTGCATTTGTTGATGGATTTTACATGTTAATAACCTTTTTTTTTTCTTTTCCATGTTAAATGCATAAGACAGTTAATGTTCTGAAGGCCATTACTTCTTTGCTGAAATGATTCTTTCAGCTCGAGACTGCATTTGGACTAGGCAGAAAGGTAATTCCAGTACCATCAAGGGGTTGATTCAATTAGTTACTTCATATATCTCAAAAATAGAAGGTCATCCGTCTTTGGTATTAGTCAGAACATAAGCTTCTTAAAAGCTAGTACAGAAACTGTACTTATACGGCCTGACTGATAATCAGAATGACATGTATGTTTCTCGTTATTTTTTTTCATAATAAAAAGAAGAGAAAGATATCAACAGCTGAACGGGTAGCATGATTTCTTACATCAGTATACAGGAAAAGAAAGATGCCTTAGTTGAACACTTCCATCATCTTAGCGGTATCCTATGCGGGACCACACCCTGCTTCAAAGCAGCACCGTAGACATTAGACGCACCCAACAACCTGCCCTGATGATTGAACTGCTTAACCAAAATGTCGTAGGATGTTCTACTTGGGATTTTACCACTTTCATACATGATAACCAACACTACCAATGCCTCACGAATCTTTCCCTCCATACAAAGCGCTTGAATAACATTGTTGAAGGTTATCGTTCGAGGAATGTACCCCATTCTAATCATTTGCTGCAAATGGTCCAGAGCCTCCTCCATTTTCTTTCCAACACAAAGAGTTCGAATCACAAAGCCATAGGTAGTATGGTCGACGATAGAAACACTACTCATTTTCTCAAACACTTGATAGGCATCTTGAACCAGGTCCTTTTCTGTCCATGATTTCATGCATAAACCTCTAAGCAAAGTGCTCATCATCCTTCCATCGACTTCGAAACCAATACCCACCATTTCCTTATAGACCCCTAGTGCTGCCCTTATCTTTCCCCATTTCAACAGCCCACTCAACAAGGTGCTGTAGCTAATGCTATCAGGCATGCAATTTTTCTCCTTCATTAGCCTTAACACTCTAAAACCCTGCTTTGGCCTTCCTTCTTTGCTATATCCTGTAAACAGAGTGTTAAAAGTGACCACATTTGGTGCTAATCCCATCTCCAGAGCCTGGCTAAGCAGTTCCATTGCCTCATCTGATCTACCCACTTTACAAAAACCATCCATAACTGCTGTGTATGAATAGATGTCAGGTCTTACTGATTCTTTCTTCATGTTCATCAGCATTTCATGAGCCCCCTCCACCCTCCCCACATAACACAATCCCTTTAACAAGCAATTGTACGTATGGACAGTAGGTTTGCACCCAATTCTACCCATCACGTCAAAAACTTCAAAGGCATTCTGCAATTTGCCTCTTTTGCACAATGAATTAATGAGAGTGGTAAATGTTATCACATTTGGACTATACCCATTCTCCATCATGTGCTGCAAAAACCGTTGGGCCCCATCAAGGTCGTTTTTCTTGCAGCAGCACCTAATCATGATGGAAAATGTCCAACAATTTGGTGCTAAAGCTGAACCGTATGACGCTACATTGGAGTAGAGTTCCAAGGCTAGATCAGGCTCGTTTGCTGTCACCAACGCCATTAGCATACCATTGAAATCAGACAAGGTCCAATTGCCAGCATCTTTCTCCATGATGCTGAAAATTTCACTCGTGTCTTTAAAGGGAATTGCTTTGATTTTATGCAGGAAATTTCCAACCCGAATTCTGTCAGTTCTCCCATCAAAATGCAAGCTTTCTAGCTTCCATACTTTAACCAAGTCTGTACAGCTTCTGTGAGCGGAAATGAGGCTGCGTGATGATGTTGTTCCCAAAGCATTTTTGCAAGGCACGGATATCAATGCAAGAACCAGAAGCTTGCGGTGTTGAATTCTTTTGGGATTGAGGAATATGGAAGGATTACCAAATACGGACGACTCAACTTTATATGGAGAAGACATGACAAAATCTAATCACAGAGAAAAAGAGGGAGAGATGGTGGATAAAATCAGCTTAGTTTTGAACTCAGCGGCAGGAAGGCGAGCAAGCAGGGGACGAAAAGCTCCTTATCCGGAGCCAGAGTACTCTAACAAAACGAAGCGTTTTTGTTCGGAAAAGCGATTGGGCTGGCAAGACATTATTTATTTGGTCTAAGGCAGTTTATAAATTTTCCTGTTCAACCAGCCGGTAAAAAGTTCAAAAAACAAAACAAAACAAAACGTCAGTGATCCGGGGCTGCAGGGACCCGATCCTTTTTCATTTCATATGTGATATGTTTAGCTATTACAGCATCTATATAATGCAGTGAATACCTAAAATAGTTGATTGCCATTTGCCAAAATGAAAAATTGAGAACCATCGGTATAACATGGATGGCAAAACGAACAAGGAACATTTCATCAGAGGCGTAGAGATCTGCTAAATGCCTTCCAAGACATGGGGTTTTTGTGGTCAGCTACTGGCTTTCTTCCAGCACTTCCTTTCCTGCCAAGAATTGGTTTTAGCAACTTCTTCAAGACCCTGTTGAAGCCAGATCCACGACGCCCTTTACGCACCGCTGGCGGTGGAGCTTGGAACTGCGCGTGCAACGTCTTTTTAGCCACGCTTGGCTCCGATAGGCTCCTACCTAATATGGCTTGGTTCAGCTGCACCTCGAAGGAGAGCCTCTCAAACTCGTCCAGCAGCGTGCTCTGCTCATCCCCAAACCTTCTCAGAATAACTGATATTTCGTCCATGCTTTTGTTTTCGTTTGCTAAAGCCGTTTTCTTTAGCTGCTCTGAGTCACCATAATCATGATCATAACACATATCTTACGCTCATTTTTTATACTTGTGAATGTTTGCTCTTTTCTTTAGCTTTCCTTTCGAGGTGGCTCAGGGTCTGGGAAAGCTGAGTTTGGGAAGCCAAGCTGACGATTGGCTTGTTATGGCAGGAAAGGAAACTCAATTGACCAAGCAAAGTAGCAAAGCGTCAACATAAGAGATTACCTGCTGCATGGAAAGTGTTAGTGTATGTGTGGCAGTCGGTCACCCAAGGGGAAAAAAGAGGGGAATAAAGGAACTTCTCTAACTTTCAAGGCCTTGGCTGTAATTCTGGGAAGGGATCCTTCTTCTCTTCCGTTGTTCTTTCCAATGCTTTTCACATTCCCTTTACTACAGTAATAAATACTATAAAATTTCTAATTGAATTTGAATCATTGTCCAAGTGAATAGTAAGTCATTGACTGCTCTGTTCTGTCCTCCAGCCTCCTAAGAATTGAAGTCACGCATAAAACAATGTCAATATAAATGTACAATTTTATTGGTTTTCCAAGATCCCACCTACCTTAATTATGTGATATTTGAATTCTCGAAAATATATTAATATGGATTGAATATAATTTCATATTTCCCAAAACAAAATTTTCAAAATGCTCATGTATCTTAAAACTTATATTAATATTATAAACTGTTATTTTTAAAAAGAATCTGATAAATATTTATAGATATTTGTTAAGATTATTTCAAATATAATATGATTAAATCATAATATTGGTGTATACTTTTAAAAAAGTATATAGAAAAATATTGGTGTATACTTTTAAAAAAGTATATTCATATGAGATAAGAGGACTCAAAAGGAAATTTATAGCTATAATTTGTAAGCCAAAGCCATGGGTATAGTCCTAACTCCTAAGCATTCTTCAGCCAAGCTGGGATTATAGTATTTCACTTTATTCGTCCTTGCATTGCAACCAAGAAATCATGTTTTGTTCCTGAGAAGCTTCTTTCACACAAAAGTGGAGTGAAGGTTTGGATGGGAAACAAAATTTTATCTGTGGGTTCTTCTTCAACTAAGAAGATTGATTCGAGATAATCTTCATCTAAATTGATTCTTGTCTTCTGCTGGATGTCTTAGAACATCTTTGTACTCTTTTTTTATTGACAGAACATTGTTTGGCAAAATGTCCCTGTTGATTGTGGATAAAACATTTTGTTGACTTTGTTCTTCTGCCTAGGTGCTTTTTCATGAGATATTTCCATTTGGTCCTATATCTGCGATGAGAAGGAAAATTTTTGGATATTTTGTATTTTCTGAAATGCTTCCTTCTTTTCGTCTTGCAACCACAATCTCGAGCTTTGTGACATTTTATTTGCCATTTTGTTCTTTCACAAGCTTTGTCTAGTTCTTTGTTTCCTACTAGATAATCTTGGACTACTTTTCTTCTATGATAGATATCCTTAAGAGCAATATGGACTTCTTGTTTTATTTCTCTAAGAGTAAGAGATAAAATCTTTGTTCTTCGCTGTTAAAGAGCTCTGGTATTTGCATTAGATCTGGAAGTGAGGAAAGGAAGACTTGTTTTAAGCTTGCTAGAGCCCCAAGCATATAAAACAATTTTACCATTTTTTGGAAATGTTTATCAAGGTCCACCTTTTTGGAAAAACAACATTTTCTTTGGAAAAATTCTTTTCTCTACAAAGTTTTGACATTATCAGGACTTCTAGTAAAGTATGTATAGAGGATATGAACAACTTGCCCGAAGTCTTGCAAAACTAGGAATTGCATTTGCTCTGTTTGGGGAATAGTGTTCCTCAAATTCCTTTATGTTCTTATAAGTCTTGACATAAATTCCATCAAAATAGTATAATGCTTTCTTCTGACAATCTTATGGTTTTTAAGTAAGAGTGGAATTCTTGAAATCTTTCTAGCCATTGTGTCGGTGGAATGTCATCAATGGTAAATGTTAATTTTGAAACTAACGGTGCCGTCAATCCTCTAGAATGTGGGAAGGTGTAGGGTCTTTGTCTACATCCATTTCTTCAACCTTTATTCCTGAATTGCTTGCCATAAATTGTGGGTTGTTTTGTTCTTGTTAGAATTCTTCTTTTTCAGAAGATAATTCATCCTATGAAAAGTATTCTAAAGGTTTAGAAGAGGCTGAAGAAGGAGAAGTTTGGTCTTCTATGATTGCTTAAGTTGAGAAAATTTTTGGAATTGAATTCTTTGTGTATTATTTAAGAAAAAAAGTTAGAGAATTTTTATTCTTGATCATCATTGTTTTTAGATCTTCTTATTCTTTAATGGCAATTCTCGATCTCTGCCTTGATTGAAGAGTCGTGGAATCTTCTTGTATTAACCTTTTCCCTTAGGCTTTTTCAGATATGTGATCAGAATCAGAGATTTCTTTTGGTTATTTTCTCTTCTTTGGTCTTTCTTCCTCTTCTTTCTGAGCTTTGAGTTTTTTGTAGAAGTAAAAAAGAGTAACTTTTGATAATGGAGGTGGGATATCAATTCATGTTCCAAGTGGTTCTTCTGGTGCTGATAAAGTGAAAGTGGACAATTTGAATGGATCATTTCTATTCGATGATGGAATTCTCTTGGTTTCTTGGAGAAGTTTGATCTGGAACTTGAGCTTCTAGGTTTCTATTTCTTTCTATTCTTTGTACAGTTGAAATAAAACACCTTGTTTTGGAACTTCTTTAAAGACTTATTTAAGTCTATTTTAGAGAAGTTTGATCATGTCATTAGCAACTCTGGTATTTTCATCAACCTTGTCTTCAACTTGTTGTATTTTGTCTTACATAATGTTGACCATTTGGTTGATTCCTTTTAACAGAAAGTTTTGAGCAATCGAATTAGCTGTTTTCCAATTCAACGTTGCCTTTGCTGCACTATTTTGGTTGGTCTCTCCATTGCATATACTTGGAGTAGAGTTGGGACTTGAGGATCATGTTTGAATTCCTTTTCAATAAACTCTTCAAGTGAAGGAAAATTATGATCATAAGAAGGATCTAAAGGTTGAAACATGCAAATTGGAGGAATTAATAGTGAAACTTGGATTTGTTGAGAACAACTTTATTTCTGAACCTATGTTTGGATTTTTTCGTAGTAAGGTAAGATAGGTTTTTGGGAATTTTGAGGTGGTTGCTTTTGAATAGATAGTTTTGATTGTGGTAGCTTTAATGCTGCCTATTTTGGAGGAGAATATTTGACCAAATACTGGTACTTCCCTTTATCTTCTCCTAAAGGTCTAACTGGGGGATCTCCATCTTGGAATCTTTTATACATTTCTTGGTCAGAACACCTTGACTTCTTTTTTGTCTTTTTTCTAGATTCTCTATTTAGTTCATAATCTACTTTCAAGCTCTCTTCTAAGCATCTTTCATAGTTACAATTAATATCCCATGGACAATGTCTAGTGAATGGGTCTGTGAAGTGAAAGATAGGATTTCCTTCATGGCCAAAACTCTAAACCAAGTTTTTCTTTGGACCAGGTTCGTCTTCTATTGGCTTGATTATAAATATTGCAGAAAAAACTAGAGGTGTTGATGGTTCTTTCAAATAAGAGTGATTAAATTTGATCTCTACTATTTTGTCTGCTCTTTTGGTGAAATGGTTTTCTATGGACTGAATAAAACTTGTGGTTTCATGTAGTTTTTCATAATTGGTCACCCATTTTTAGGAAGAAGTTTGGCCATATCATTTTTTGGGATTCTTTTGGGGACAAATGAGCAAGTAGGAACTTGTGTTGTGTTTATGGTCAAAACCAGTACATCATTTGAATTGGTTTGAAGCCTGAAAAGATTGAATGCATAGTCTTGAACTCTATAAACCATCTGATAGTAAAAGGTAGCTATGACGGCTGAAAGAACTTGTGGAGCACCTACTATCTGAATTTGGATTTTTAGAGGTGAAAGTATATTAAGATCACATAAAGCCATATTGTAGTTTGGAAAGAGTGTTACTATCACTGTTCCTATGTTGAATGTTGGCTTCTACAGTTTCAATGAATGTATTTTCATACTTGATGTATCTAGTATCAAGAAAAGCCATTCTTGCTACAACTGGCTGAGCTTCACGCCCATGGTAATTAAGGGCCAACCTGACTGCCCTAAAATGGATATGAGAATATCCATGCTGAATCCATTGTTAAGGAAACTCTGGAGGGATTTGAAGTGCAACAAATTGTTCTGTTTGGTCCCCTTTGATTAAATGTTTATCACACCGGATTG